AAATCAGCACTATTGAATAGAATTCTATATTTCTATATTTCTAGACAGTTTGGAAATTTCCAAACTTCATCCAAATATCCAGGAAACCTTTCATCATCATCTTGACCAAATGCCTTTGTTTCTGATATAAACTAAGTGACATATAAATCCGAACACCCAGTGTAAAAGGTTTTATTTTAATAAAAGTTGGTGAATGTATTTATCTTACTGTAAATAACAAGTGAAGCAATTTTCAGCCTTATCAGTTGGACATTCCGCTTTTTATACTGCTTTTTTTTAATTCACTAACGCTCTAAAAATGAATATTTCAGCCGCAGTAAAGAATCAACGTTGGCGGATTTTGGTTCTTGACATCCTTTACGATCGGTTACGATGCCTAGAGTACGGAGACCTGTACGATTTCGTCAACTTAGTGAGTTTGATAGGGGCCGTATAGTGGGACTTCGGGAAGCTGGACTTTCTTTTCGGGCAATTGCAGTTAGAGTGGAAAGAAGTGTAGACACTGTGGTTAGGTGTTGTCAGGCATGGCTTCGAGAAGGCCGTACGCAAAGAGCAAGGGGCACTGGACGCCGCCGTAGAACAACAGACCGTGAAGATCTCCGCCTAGGATTATTGGCCTTAAGGGACCGTTTCTCCACTACCAGGTCCATTGCAAAACACGGAAGACCTATTGGCATGCGAAGTGTTTACCGACGAATGAGAAGTTTTGGCTTGTTTTCATACCGGCCACACTGGGTCCTCCCTTTAACTCGAGAACACCGACGTAATCGCCTTGAGTGGTGCAGACAACGGTCACTCTGGGATCAGGAATGGAACAGTATTTTCTTTAGTGACGAGTCTCGATTTTGTTTAGGCATGCACGATGGTCGTGCCAGGGTTATAAGGCGACGTGGTGAAAGGAGGAATCCACAGTTTTTTGTTGAAAGTCATGTTCACCACACTGTTGGAGTTATGGTTTGAGGTGCTATAGTTTATGGTTCGAGGTCACCTTCAATCTTCATCAGAGGTAACATGAACGCGCAGCGTTATATCCACGAAGTTCTAGAACCCTATCTTTTACCCTATCTTGACACCCTGGCAGATCCAACTTTCCAACAAGATAATGCCCGACCACATGTTGCAAGAGTCACAATAGACTTCTTTCAACATAATGATGTCACATTGTTACCATGGCCACCAAGATCTCCCGACTTATCCCCAATTGAGCACGTGTGGGATATGATGGGTAGGAGATTGCTCAATTTGCAACGTCCTCCTCAGACTCTAGAAGCACTTCGAGAGGAGTTGGTGGTTGCCTGGAATGAGATACCACAGGAGGACACTGACCACCTGAACAGAAGCATGCCTAGGCGCGTTGGAGAATGCGTAGCACATCAGGGTGCGCCCACACATTATTAAAGGTCAAAGGGCTTTAAAGCAAGGCAATCATTTTGAAATTTTTATCATTTACTTATTATGCTTCATTATGTACTTATACAAAATTTTATTAAAATAAAACCATTTAAACTGGGTGTTCGGATTTATATGTCACTTAGTATATTTCATTTGCTCCTTCCAGCTTAGGTAGGTCGAACAGGCCCATAAGGACACAATCCTCAAGAAAATTGAAATTCAAGACTCTGTTAGAAATTTAATACAGTTTGAAATGCGTACGGTTTTCGAGTATTTACATCCAAATATCTTAAAATTGAAGCATATAATAGCAACAATGTAGAGTCAATAAGGACCTTGAATGTTGGTATCATATGCTCGAGTATTGTACGTAAGCGTACAAAAAGCTCTAACTTCATTGTATCCATGGGCGCCCGCACCCATTTTTCTCAGGGGTGGCCGATCATCGACAAGAAATAACTAGTTGTGAAAATGTACCTGTCAGCAAATCATTTTTTTGTAGACCAAATTTTTAGTCAGCAACGCAAATCCTAAGAATTACCGAAATTGTACGCAAAACCGTAATAATAATAATAATCTTTATTAATAAAATAAACATCAAGTTCTATGCTCTTGTGTATAAAAGTCCATTTTAGAAAATGCATCTAAAACATGAATTTAAAACATTATTACGGGTAATAAAATATAAACATTTATATGAATGACAGTTAAATGGACACAAACAAATATACAGGGTGTCCGCAAAGTTGGGGTTTTCCTTTTCACTACCCTTGAAATAACAAAGGTAATGTGAGGTGAAACGAGGGCGACCAAGTAAAAAAAAATAAAGGAAAAAGTACTCACTCTTCAGTTGACGAGAAGGGCTAAGTACGTCTCTACCCGAAATCATACCGCTCCAACAGAAAATGAAATCAGCTGATGCGCTACCGAGCAGACGCAGGCAAACAAGGAAGGCAAAATGTTGCGTAAAAAGTCTAGGTATTGCATCCCGTCCAATCGATTTGGGAGAATAAATGGTCCAATGAGCATACCGTTCACCATGCCAGCCCAAACATTCACCGAAAATGTTTGTTGAAAATGTGCCCGACGGACAGCGTGCGGATTTTCTACTGACCAAACATGAGTGTTGCGAAAGTTATTCACCCCATTACGCGTGACCGTAACCGTCGGTTGAAGGTTGCATACTGACCTGACCCACTGACACCGACCCAGTTCTGTCGTCGGGTTGAGCCAGTGAAATTGTACCACTCGGGGATGTCGCGGGTCGCGGTTACAGGACGGTATTCAGATATTTTTGATGTTGCAGAGCCCTTTATCTCGGTTCCCTTAAGACATTAAGAAAAATTGCTTATGTTTTTAAGATCTACACGTCGTGTAAAGGAAAACCCCAACTTTGCGGACACCCTGTATATCTAATCGTTATGGCTCTATTTGCAAAAATAAACATTACTAGGTAAGCACCGCATATGTTTGCTTAAAACTGCTTAAAATCACCTGAATGGTATCGTTACTGATATCTCGTCCTTGACGTGTCAAACATATCACACATCCTTTTAACAGGAGACATTTCCGATATGTTCGTTCTAGACCTAGAGCTGTCAAAACTTGAATTAGAGCGAGTTGATCTCTTTGGCACCACAAAATTGATTTTAGATAAGAATTTCGGGCAATCAATCAAGTTCATTATTAACCACTAAAGCACTGTAATATTGTAATGTCATTTAATCGACGAAGGTAAAAAACAATGTATGAAAATTCGTGAAGTAGAAGCCTCTTCCAGGATATAAGCCATAAATTGGCGACCAAACCAGATCGTGCCTAAATATGCAAATTTTATGGTCCAGCCGGATGCTGAAGGGGGTCACGCCCCCCCCTCGCGTCTTCCTGCGGGCGCCCATCACTATATCGGCTAATCCAGTTATGCTGATGATACCCAGAGTCGGGTCGAAATATGGATGTCTAAAGCCCGCCACTCACGACCCAACGCCGCAGTACAACTTTGTCGAAAATCGGATAACGACACACATGTAACGATCTTGCAGTATGAGTTTTGATTTGAAACATGGCCGATGAAAATCTAGTTTTAGCGGCTCTTACATTTTGTACGACTAAAAGTAAAAGGAAAAAGATCGGTCGCCATCTTCAAAAGTAATGCCAACTTAAAGTTCTATACCTCGAAAAAAGACACCCGTTATAATTCAAAAAATTCTCTTAAAAAATCCTCATTGTAAGCGATTTTTATAAATATGCGTACACCGAGAAATATTATTAAAATGCGCCAAATTTAGGTTGTTTTCACGTGAGTTTTCCGAAATCATACAATGGTATCACACGTCACAGTACACGATCAAATAAAAGATCCAACCAACAGTGTTGTACTGCTGTCAAATTGTACCGACTTGACTGGATAACACGACCAAATTGCGTTCGATTTTGTAGCATTCGACAAAATCGTACGGCGGCGTTCGATCGTGCGTGACGGGCTTAATACAAAGCCGTGTGTACAGAGAGAATGTACACAACATACTAAACTCAGCCAAATATCAAAACGCGCCTATGTTTTTTTTCTTCATTTCAATTACAACGTTTCTCATTTCAAATTGCAATTATACGCTTCGCCTATTTATCGGTAGACCATGTGCACAGCAGTGTCGCATATAATTGTATGCATTTAATCTCATTTAAACACCTTGAGAAACTCTGTAATTGAAGTGACTCATTCTCCACTTCCATTACAAAAATTATCAGCGTTTGTAGCCTGGTATGTAGTTATTAAATGTACAATATTCTTTAGTATAGTTATAATATTTTAGTATATAAAGGCGCTAGGATTTTTTTTCTGGCAGATTTTTTCGATTTTTTTATATCTATTTATTATAAATTTGAATCAGTATTCACTATAAACAATAGATTTTGACAGTTTAACAGACGCGACCCCCTAACAGAACTATTATTGTTTGCATTAGTGACTCTCCAGCTGAAGAAAACATTACCACGTGGAATGTTGAATAAAACACAATCATCATTTGCGATAGAAGTGAGCATTTTCGGAACTACTCTCGCGGCTCTCATTTTATTCAAGATTCTGCGTGACAACTTTGCTACTTGAAGATATGTGAAGATAATAGAAATAGCACAGTGTCGTACAAACATGGCGCTAAAGATATGAGATTGAGATTTGCTAAAAATTAACAAACGATTTGCATTAATGTCCGATGCTGTTGAAGACGTCAAAAAGCTGATGATAACCTTTGAAGATCAGGATGCTAATCTAAATCAGTTATCTGCATTTAAAATAAGATATGATATGGTCCAAACCTTTGCTCATTTATTTGACATATTTGTCGGACCTTATGGCTCGTTTACACAGTGCGAGCTAGCGTACGAGTCATCCTGCCGAGTAGCTGCAGTGCAGTAATTCGCATAAATCCGGACGTACCTACGAGTAACTCGTACGTGCGAGTTGGACAGTAGCTCGCATCCGAGTTACTTCAACAATTTTTGTTTTCACTCGCCTGCTGGCCCGACAGCAACGCGCATATGGCAACAGCTCGGACGTCATTCGCATCGTTCGGACATGTTCGGCAGTAGCTCGCCAGTGTCAGCCCGCAATTACGAAGCAGAAGCTGTATTTCATGTGTGCTGCGCCACAAGCGTTTACCCAATTCGAAATGGGCTCAGAAAGGTGGTCTTCTGAGAATAATATTACATTCATGAATCTCTACAGAGAACAAGAAAACCTATGGAATTGTTTTGATAAAAATTATAAAAATAGAGATATGAGAAAAGCATCTTTGGAATACATTGCAAACGAAATGAGTCTAGTTAACACCAGTGAGGTAACTAAAAAAAATAAAAATTTACGATCTACCTATAACCAAGAACGCGCGAAAATTGAAAAAAGTAAAAAGAGTGGATCTGGGTCGGAAGATGTTTACAAGTCATCCTTAAAATGGTTCGATATAATGGATTATATAATGAAAACAATTAATTTGAAAGAAAAGAAAACAACAAGCAATCTGGTGAGTACCTGATATTTTATTCCACTGAGATAGTTCATCACATTTAATTATTATTAATCATATAATTTTGCCAGGTGACAGCACCCTCATTACAAAAAAAAAATTGTATTTTTCTCTCAATTTTTCAGCTGCGAACTTTGATCTGTTATTGATCCGCGAACGGGCGATACTTGGTAACGCATTTATTTCTGATCTCCACGTTCCTAGGTTCGTAGTGAAATTTACAATATCTTCATAATCTATGCTACCCGGTGGTGTGTAGGTGTGAAGTGAAGATTTGCGCAACCAGTTGTGCAGTACACATGTAGTTCGAATCATTTTTATTGCGGTTTCCTCTTGCAACTGGATAGGTTTTGCCAAAACACGGAATCGAGATACTAAAATACCAAATGCATTTTCTACTATGCGTCTTGCAATAGTGAATCTGTAATTGTAAATTTTTTCGGCAATCGTGGGCTCATTGGGATATCGTTTCAATAAGTACGTCTTAAGAGGGAAAGCATCATCTCCCACTAGGAATCCACCTTCTGGCAGTAATGACCCATTTTCCAACACTGGATACAATGAGGAAGCTTGGAAAACACCAACCGTCGGAATTTCGCCCATATGAGCCTATGTCCACATATTTAAAACAGTAGTCATGATCCACGACTGCTAAGAGCACCAAGCTGTTTGTTCCTTTATTTTTTGCCGTCGATGGCTCCACAACATCCTGGAAAATTCCACCTGTGGTGAAATCCTACTTGTATGTCTTCCCATTCCCTTTTGTCTGGTACCTGAAAAAATATTAATTTAGTATTTTCATTTCAGCCTAACGATACACCGTCGGGGTCTAAAATTTTGGGAGATGATGTTAGTCGGGACATTGATGATAAAACTGATAATAAATCAATCGACTCCAGCGACAGCTCGTTGATCAAAAATAAAAATCCAGTTCAAGTTAAAAATAAAATAAAGCATAACATTACCCAAGAAACGAGCGGAATTGCAGCAGCTATTAATGAGCTGAAACAACTGAATAGTACTATACAAACTTCCAGTTGTTCTCAGCAATGTGATGAGTACGATGTTATTGGAAAACATGTCGCTATTCAACTGAGAGAGCTCCCATTACTCGATTTTATAGACGCCAAAGATGAAATCCAACAAGTACTTTCCCGATACCGAGAAAAAGCTATATATGTCCGAAACACATCTGCTTTTTCCTCATATAATACATCGTCGCCAACGTCCTACATATCGCTGACATCACCAGGATCCAGTGTACCAAGTGATTCATTCCCAGGACCTGTCCCAATATCTGATCGGCCCGCAGAAACAGTTTCTCGGCAGCCAGTTCAAACAGTTGTTGGACAACCATCAAATGCATCATACGAGGGTATCCACTTTGGTGATCCACTAGTCAGAGCAATGATAGATGCTGATATGAACAATATGCAATAACTTTTATCCTCTGTGTTACTTTTGTTTAATTTTGTATGACTTGGTTTGTCTTTAATAAATGAATGAATGTATGTATGATCCACACATGTGTCATTGAATAAGTTAACTGAACGTTTGAAGTATCAACTCATGAAGCATTTACCACATTTCTACTTACCTGCAAATATTCGTCCAAAGCTTCATACATAGCGTCACAAACTTCTGGTATAAATTTTGATATGGAGGATTTTGAAATCCTGAAAAATATTGCTAACAGCCTGTATGATATTCCTGAGCTTAGAAAACACAGGGATACTTCTAACTTTACCCTTGCTGGTATGGCATCTCTCATAAAAGTGTCTTGACGCTCTATTTTCATTTTTATTAAATTTAAAAGTTTGTCAACTTGTTCGGGTGTCACTCTCAGCACTGCTTTATATTCTCGGGGGTCTTCATGATAAAGCTCCTTGAAAATCGCACATGTTGCTCCTATAGATCGCCTTGCCATCCAATCTCTAATCCAAACCTTTTTCTTCCTCTCCTTTTTTTGAAGTTTTTTGTAGGATTTTTCCAATTCTTCACATAATATTATTGTCATAGACCTTATTACCGTTTTTTTAATCACAGCAAGTTGACTCAACATCGCGACAACTCGGAAGATACTGGGCAGCTACTATCATCGTGGAAACAACTAAGGCGAGTCGAGCTACTGGCATACGAGTAGACCATCCGAGTAGCTGTCTACTGTCTAGTCAGCAGCTCGCACTGTGTAAAGGAGCCATTACAAAAGTCAAATTCCAGTTAACCGTTGATGAAGAGTCCAAAACTTTAGAATATACTCAAAATAAGTACCCGGGAATCTTTTACGAGTTGAAGGGTGCACGGAAAAAAGATGAATGTCACTAATTTGGTGTTTTGTAGTTAGAACCGGTAACATGTAGCCTCAACGCAGTACAATCCCATGAGGAATCGGAAACACGCAAAAACACTTACAGTTCGTAGTTATACCCAATAGAAAACTTGCCGCGCAGGAAAAAGAGAAGAATGTATGAAGAAAAGATGAACGTCCACTGATCGTCACCAAAGAAATTTACCATACACCAATCTGCGACGAAAGAAATAAACGTTAAGTAATCGTTTTTAAGCAGTTATATACCATTAATTTTGTTTTGTTTGTTCTATATTCTTTTGAATAAAGATTTTTTGGTTCTGTCCCAATTGAAAAAATACTTAGAACTAAGTCTGAGTTTGAGCTATTCAGGTTAGAAAATTACTTTTGTTCCAGGCCATGTTTTATAAATTTTCTGTTAAGGTAGTTATCATATTAGAACAGATCGTGAAACCTAAGATAGGCATTTTGCTGGTTAATCAACCCTTAGGTTTTACAGGGTGTCGCATAATATGATCAAAAGCTAATTTCTAGCCTCAATATCTCAAAAAAGTTGAATTCAAGCATCACATAAGAAATGTTTGAAAGTATATCAAAAAATATTTTTTTATTTATAATTTAATTTCTTTTTCGATTACTTATAATAAGGAATCTATGGTACTCCGTCAAATCTTTGACCCACCCTGTACAACGAGTCTAGGAGTCTTGAAACTTTTAAATTCACTTTTCTCGAAGCGTTTTGTGATATTATCTTTTTCCCATGTACCCTTCAGTTGTTCACAGCTGTGGCTTCCTTTTCATATATAGAAAAAATCCTTCTTTTCTACATCTGGTCTGGTCTAATCGAAACTTCGAAATAGGCTTCTTATGCATTCCTATAGGATAATAACATAACTTATAATAATAAACGAATATGAATGCATTTGAATTAGTATTTTTCTTTTATACAGAGTGTCCGCAAAGTTGGGGTTTTCCTTTACACGACGTGTAGATCTTGAAAACATAAGCAATTTTTCTTAGTACCATATACACCAATGTCTTAAGGGAACCGAGATAAAGGGCTCTGCAACATCAAAGATATCTGAATACCGTCCTGTAGCCGCGACATCACCGACTGGTACAAGGTCACTGGCTCAACCCGACGACAGAACTGGGTCGGGTTCAGTGTGTCAGGTCAGTATGCAACCTTCAACCGACGGTTACGGTCACGCGTGTAGAGGTAATCGCGTGGACGAGAATCCCTCAACAAGCACTAGAGACGTGGCTAGAGAAGTGCAAGTATCAAAAACTAAAGTGTGGCAAACGCTGCGTGAAGAGGGGCTGTATCCGTTAAACGTCCAACGTGTACAAGCCCTTCAACCTGACGATTTTCCAGCAAGAGTGCGGTTTTGCGAGTGGTTGTTGCATCAACATGACAATAATCCGGACTTTTTGAAGTGCATATTGGTGACAGATGAATCTACGTTCACGCGTAATGGGGTGAATAACTTTCGCAACACTCATGTTTGGTCAGTAGAAAATCCGCACGCTGTCCGTCGGGCACATTTTCAACAAACATTTTCGGTGAATGTTTGGGCTGGCATGGTGAACGGTATGCTCATTGGACCATTTATTCTCCCAAATCGATTGGACGGGATGCAATACCTAGACTTTTTACGCAACATTTTGCCTTCCTTGTTAGAAGATGTGCCATTAAGTGTAAGACAATCAATGTGGTTTCTACGTCTGCTCGGTAGCGCATCAGCTGATTTTATTTTCTGTTGGAGCGGTATGATTTCGGGCAGAGACGTACTTAGCCCTTCTCGTCAACAGGAGAGTGAGTACTTTTTCCTTTATTTTTTTTACTTGGTCGCCCTCATTTCACTACACATTACCTTTGTTATTTCAAGGGTAGTTGTTTCTGAAAAGGAAAACGCCAACTTTGCGGACACCCTGTATAGCTGATTTAGCAAACCATGAACTTCCCCGAAAAAATATTTTCTCTGAGACGTCGACGAGTTTGAGAGAATCTGCAAGATCATTTATATTCAACTCCACTAATAGAGGGACCCCGAAGAAACTGCGCAACTGCGTTCCAGATATTTATATTCTGCATCTGACTACTTCGGCATTTATCTCCATTTAATCCGTATACATAGGGTAATTCGGGGAGTGATGGCGCACCTTTTTCTTTAACAGCTGTATAAATCGAAAGAAAGACCAAATCATACTCAAAACTTAAACTTTTATTCTTTGGTTATCAAGCAACAAATATCAAACACATTATTCAAATTAGGAAGTATACAGAAACATAAAAAGCTAGCTCTAAGGACATTATACAAAAATCCATCTAACCCGGAAGATGCGGTTGAGATGGCGCAGCTATTTCGGGTGAGATGGCGTACACATAGTAAGATAAAATATTTACTTCTTGGCATTGAATTCGTTATTCAAAACTGCTTTTGCACACCCGTTGCATAACTCACTATAACGTGAACATGTTTCGTGGTACCAAGACAAACATCGGATACATTTTAGCCAATCATCAGGCTTTTTTGTTGTGGCATATGCCTCATTACAACCTCTACAGCACTCATCTTCTGAGCCTTCTGAAGAAGAATCATGTAAAGACACATCCGCTTCTGATTCTGAAGAAGTGTTTTCAACCAAATTTAATTTTCGACGGCGCCTACTACCCTTTTGTGTTTTCTCATTTTTATTTTCCACTTTCCTTGTTACAATTTTCCTTGGATGTTTTTCCTGCTTAGATTTTTTGTTTGTAATACTTTCAGCGGAGTTGAGTATTGACGCCACTTGTTTGCTGCGTTTTCTAACTTGCTGAACAGGTGTACTAGTACACGGTATGGGAGAAATATTATTTAACATTTTGCCAGGCGTCAGGTTATTTTTAGGAGGGCTTTCTGGTGGGGGAAGACTGTCCTTTGAACATCCTGGTTGAGGGTGATCCAGAATACTTGCTTGAGTTGTTATCTCTTGTTCGTTATTATTGCAATTATTAACATTATCCTGAACATCTGTGGTCTCCGACAAAAATGCTTCATCCGGAATTGCTTCAGGATTAAATGGTACGATACCTGTTGCCTTAAAGGCTGCCACAGCATTACTTACTGTGGCAGACTTGACCCACGCCGACGCAAGAAGTTCTCCAAACTGAAGCCGTGTCAACCTTCTTGTAGGGTTATTTTTTATATAAAGATTGCACGCTCTGTAATAGTTCATTTTTAATGACTTAAAAAACCCCCTATCCAACGGTTGCAGAAATTGTGTCGTATGACTGGGTAGGCATACAAGGATGATATTGTTACTGCTGGCAAACTCGAGCATTTCAATGTTGTTACAATGTGATCCATGTCCATCCAGCAAAAGAATAACCGTCCCAACTGGTTTCCTTGGTAGGAATTGTTCTTTTAGCCAAAGGTAAAAGAGAGCACTATTGATGTAGGCGGATTTTTCATTCATGTAGACTTTTGACCCCGGTGGCAGACCGTCTTCATACTCAGCTTTCTTATTTTTGCCCTTCATAATGCAGGTAGGGGGAATATATACACCTTCCGCACTAAAACATGAAATAACAGTAATGGTCTCTCCCTTTTCCGCAGCGGTGATGCTAGCTACATTCTTAGAACCTTTGGCAGCAACAACGAATCCGGGTTTGTTATTCAATTGCATTCCAGTCTCGTCCACGTTGAAGATGTGGCTATGCTTTTCAAAGAGTTGATTTTCTGCAAGGACTCTTTCCAAAAGCTTAAAGTAGTCAGCAACCTCTTTGCGTCTCATTCCTTGAGCGCGCGCAAGAGACACTCCTTCGGACTTTCGAACTGACAAACCCGGATGACGCGATAAGAATGAATGTAACCAGTCATACCCTGCTTTTCCAGATTCATGATTGAAGCGGTGCTTTATTTGCAACTGTTCAGCCAACTTAAAGGCCATAACACGGACGTCTTCTCGAGTAGGAGCAAACCCATGTGCTTGTAGCTTTTTTATGTGTGTCACAATCTTATTTTCATTTTGTATGCCTAGACATGCTGACGGCCCCTGAGGTCCCACTACCAGATTACCAGATTTCTTTCGTCTTCTTAAAGTGGTTGCTGGAACATTAAAATGTCTTGCAGCTTCATTTACACCCATGGAGTTATTATTCACAGCAGCAATGGCTAGCAGTAACTGTTCCTTGGTCCATTGTCCACGTAAAGACGTACTACGCCTATTGTATTTCGTCGGCATGGTACTGGAATAAAAAAATATATAGGTATTCAAAGCTCCAACTCACCCGCAGTTTAGTGCACCGTCTCACCCAAAAATGCCGGGTGAGATGGCTCACTTAATTACTAAAACTGGCAACGACTAAAAATCTTCGTGCTAGGTTAGAATCACTCCTACAAGCGGCTGTAGCAATATTATGTCACTAAAAATGAATTTAATCATGGAATAACTTACCAGTCTCTTGTTGATCGTACCGTGATGCAAAATTTTGCAAATTCACGATTAGTTTTCTTGCTTCCGCCACTCCAATTATCGTGAGAAACCACTTTTTCCGCCGTACATTACTTATTTCTAGGAGTGTTTATAACATAACTAACATGTCGTGTCTTGATGTTAAACATGTTGCCAAATATAGCGCTGCGCCATCTCATCCGGTGCGCCATCTCTCCCGGAATTACCCTAAAGGACAACCAAATCGTTATTCTATCATTGGCGGGAAGTGTTGTTAAGAAATTATGCATTTTCCAATTATTTTATTGGGCCTCCCATTATGTACTGTTTCTTTTAAACCAAAAGCACACGAGCCGCATCAGAATTTTACGTAGGACCAGAATGGGAGGCATCTAGCGGTCACAGTAGTGACCAGGCTGACAATGCGAACTGAAAAATACAGTTCCAACAATGTGCTGTCTTATTTCGAAAAAAAATCAAGTTTGATTTAAATACTGATTTTTATCAACCAACCCTGCTAATAGCTACCTTTGTAAAAAATGTATTAGCAATACTCCATTCAGGCTTAATTGGGCCATCCTGTAGATCACGCTAGCTCCATAAACTATTTTTCACTAACAAAATATTTATTCTAAACATAGGTTCATTACGTTGTTGTTACCGTACATACTTAGATTTATGGCTTGCTTGATGAAAAAAGTTAACGTTACAGCAATTCCTATGCTGCGGTTTATCGCCAGTAAAACTGGACCAAATACCACACCACAGATACGTAAAAACACATTTTCTGCCTTACTTAATCTTAACAGCTGACGTAATTGACGTCTTCTCACATTTTTCCGCATATTTGTACATCAGTTACAGTGATACGCTACTCCATATGGTTTGGTGTTCCTTAATTTGCGAATACTCTAAATAAAAAATATTTTTGTGTCAAAATTTGGATATCACTATGAAAACTATAGTCCAGTCATCATGGATATTTTGCAGCATATCGCTCGGCTTTGCCGGGAGTTTCAAATTCGACTCTCACCGCTGGGGGATCGCGGAAACAGTAAGAGATACGATGTTGTTTAATTGGGGACAAAGTTTTAAGTTATGTAACTAAGAAAATGAAACTTACCAAGTTTCGAAATTCAGACGAAATAAACCGAACCGAAATCGTTTTTATTTTTTCCTGACTTGTTTTTCCTTTTTATATAATGTCGTACTGGATTATTCTTGTTATCTTTGTCTATTTTTCTTTGAATATTGTTATGTTTATGTTTTTTTTTTCTTTCATATGGTGGGGTCAAATCTAACAGCAACCCAGATGCTAATCTTCGCCTTTCTGATGTGTTTCAATAAAGTTTTTTACTATTATTACTTTATTTGAGATGAGGTGTCAAAATAAGAAGTAACATTACCACTTTTTCTCATCTACAAGATCGTTTGTCCTCGATCAACAATTTTATTTTTCCTATAGACGCCATATTTGATTTTTACACATATAAATAGAGCTTTTTGGAGTTTTTAATTTCGATTTCAATACGATATAATGTCATACACTGACTTGGTCAAATCTAAGTTGTTTCAAGAAAACCAATATTCTCATAGTTGGCTTTGAAAATGACAGGTTATGGCATTGTTTATCGATTAAATCAGTGTTTGAGAAGCATGTTTAAAAGACATTCAGATAATATGCCCGTTTATCGACATTACAAACGCTCTACATGGCACCTCACGCATAGATTAATAGTATACTAAGTGACATATAAATCCGAACACCCAGTTTAAATGGTTTTATTTTAATAAAAGTTGGTGAATGTATTTATCTTACTGTAAATAACAAGTGAAAAAATGTTCAGCCTTACCAGTTGGACATTCCGGTTTTTATACTGTTTTTTTTTTTAATTCACTAACGCTCTAAAAATGAATATTTCAGCCGCAGTAAAGAATCAACGTTGGCGGATTTTGGTTCTTGACATCCTTTACGATCGGTTACGATGCCTAGAGTACGGAGACTTGTACGATTTCGTCAACTCAGTGAGTTTGATAGGGGCCGTATAGTGGGACTTCGGGAAGCTGGACTTTCTTTTCGGGCAATTGCAGTTAGAGTGCAAATAAGTGCAGACACTGTGGTTAGGTGTTGTCAGGCATGGCTGCGAGACGGCCGTACGCAAAGAGCATGGGGCACCGGACGCCGCCGTAGAACAACAGACCGTGAATATCGCCGCCTAAGATTATTGGCCTTAAGGGACCGTTTCTCCACTACCAGGTCCATTGCAAATGAATGGTTTGCAGAACACGGAAGACCTATTGGCATGCGAAGTGTTTACCGACGAATGAGAAGTTTTGGCTTGTTTTCATACCGGCCACACTGGGACCTCCCTTTAACTCGAGAACACCGACGTAATCGCCTTGAGTGGTGCAGACAACGGTCACTCTGGGATCAGGAATGGAACAGTATTGTCTTTAGTGATTTTGTTTAGGCATGCACGATGGTCGTGCCAGGGTTAGAAGGCGACGTGGTGAAAGGAGGAATCCACAGTTTTTTGTTGAAAGACATGTTCATCACACTGTTGGAGTTATGGTTTGGGGTGCTATAGCTTATGGTTCCAGGTCACCTTTAATCTTCACCAGAGGTAACATGAACGCGCAGCGATATATCCACGAAGTTCTAGAACCCCATCTTTTACCGTATCTTGACACCCTGGCAGATCCAACTTTCCAACAAGATAATGCCCGACCACATGTTGCAAGAGTCACAATAGACTTCTTTCAACATAATGATGTCACATTGTTACCATGGCCACCAAGATCTCCCGACTTATCCCCAATTGAGCACGTGTGGGATATGATGGGTAGGAGATTGCTCAATTTGCAACGTCCTCCTCAGACTCTAGAAGCACTTCGAGAGGAGTTGGTGGTTGCCTGGAATGAGATACCACAGGAGGACATTGACCACCTGATCAGAAGCATGCCTAGGCGCGTTGGAGAATGCGTAGCACATCAGGGTGCATCCACACATTATTAAAGGTCAAAGGGCTTTAAAGCAGTGCAATCATTTTGAAATTTTTATCATTTACTTATTATGTTTCATTAAGTACTTATACAAAATTTCATTAAAATAAAACCATTTAAACTGGGTGTTCGGATTTATATGTCACTTAGTATATTTGAATGCAAGACATGTGCATCGGTTTAGATATGACATGTGCTTAAGGAGCTGCTACATCGTCAAGCCGTTTTTTAACACGCTTTCATTAGCTTTATGTACAGTAATGGACAAAAGTATATAGACAAATATGAATATTTACCTTTAGAAAACGAATGTTACAATGTTACAATCAGTTACATAAAATAATACTTCTCCCAATGTTGTCAAAACGACGTTTGTTCTTTATGCAATGATTCGAGATCAACTATAGGAAGATTACTTTTTTAGACATTTGAGGTTTCATATCAAACCATGTCATGATATTTACAATAGCACATTAAAACAAGAAATTACACTGTTCAACTATACCTAGTTCATAAAAACTAGGAATGCTTCGCTGATGATATAATGAAACAAAAGATAATTTCAAGGCCTACTTAGGAAATTCTTTTTTTTTTTAATTAAGGTTTGGCGATGTCCATTTATAAGACATGCATTTTCTGAATCAGACTTAAAAGGTCTGAGTATTTACCTGTGGAAAAACCCAATACGGCGTCTGTAAGAAAAAATCAAGTTGATGTTTGAGGACATGAGACGGAAGTCATATCGAAATTATCATTATCCTATCTTGTACAGGAGAAAAACTGGCAATGTCGATATACTTTTTATTTTGTAATACCTCAAATACAGCCAGGAAAAAAGGAATTGGGGGAAAATTAGCTATCTCCGGAAATACTCTAAATAGCGAAACGTTTCAAGAGCAATTTTCACCCGGTATATATCGGATATATCTTGAAAATATTGTACATAGACTTGTCAGAATTTGTCATCAGAGGGCTACAAAATTAGACATGAATGACAGATGAAACTATTGATCCAGGCATTCGGGTGGTCCGTAAATTTTGAATTACCTTCAAATACAAATATAGCATCATTTACCTATTCCGTTGTCTCCCTGCAGGGATGTCAGTGTGAATAATTGAAAAACGTCACATCGCCTGTTCTGAAACATCGGGAAACCTAGGGAGGAAATCAAAGCGAAAACTGACGAGGAAACTCGGGGGGAAATCGAAA